CTTGCCTCACCGCCGACAGCCCCCATCCCCACCAAGGCAATCCTGTCGTTCGATACTTCCTTGTGCTTTACCCTTCGCTGGGGTTCCACTGGCGGTCTCGCATCGGCGCAGCAAGGCGCGGGCCTTTTCGAGGTGGGATAAATTGAAATGTCTCGGAGGAGGTGTTTGCAAGACCTCATTCGGCGGGATATCTGGGAATGGGAATACGGACCCCGCCATAGAACAAGAGTCCCCCATGATGTGGATGGTTATCATGATGGTCGTATGTTTCGTGTGGAAACATCGCGCATGAGGGTAACATGATTGTTGTTGTTGATGTTGTTGATGCTGTTGTTGTTGTTGGTGTTGTTGTTGTTGTTGTCGTTGTTGTTGTCGTTGTCGTTGTCGTTGTCGTTGTTGTTGTAGTAGTGTTTGTTTTCCTGGGTGACTGGCGGCATCGGCCGACACCCCATTTGGAACTTTCTTTTGACGGGGTCAGAAACGTAAACCAGCCAGCCTGTTGAGCACCCTTGTTACAAACACATAGGGCGGCGGATCGAAGATGCCTACGGCGAACCACCGCCATCCCTTGCCTTTTAGAAAAGCTCATGCGGCCATTGGGCCGTCTTTGGATCCTCTCGACACGCCGTGCGGGCCGCTTGTGGGCCTTTTGGGCTGTCTCTGGGCGATCTTGGGGTCCTCCTGGGCCGTCTTGTAGCGTCGAAAACTCGAAAGCCTACAGATAATTAATCCTTTCAAAGCCTGCGGGATCTACATTGTTTTGGCTTCTCGGGGGGGTCCTCTTCGGGGGCCTTCTGAGGCCCTCTGAGTGTGTCTTGGAGGCTTTTTGAGCCGTCTGGAGTCCGGAGGCCGTATTGGCGTCTTGGATCGATATTTGAGCGACTCGGGGCCTTCTTGGACCGTCTTGTGGGGCCTTTGGGGGCTGTCTGGGGGCCGGGAGCGGTACAGTGGGAGGACGGAGGAGGCATGAGGAGAATGGAATAAGAGTGAGGCGGGGGAAGAGAGGAGAGGTGAGCGACATGGGCGGAGGGGGACGATGGCGGAGGGGGCAACAGGGAGAGAAGCAGGAGGCGGAGGAGGGAGGAAGGAAGGCAAAGCACCCCGGCCGACACAAAGAGAACTATCATCTCGACTTGCATACCTGGGCGGCCAGGGACCCCCCGTCCCAGCGGGCGGCCGAGCCACGAGCAAATCAAAACGTGTACGCTCTTCTTGTCGTTTCCCCCCCCCATCCTGGCGGGGGCAATTTCCGTCGTGTGGACCCGCGTACACACACGCACACACACGCACGCACGCACGCACGCATGCAAGCACGCGCACGCACGCACGCACGCACGCACGCACGCACGCACGCACGCACGCACGCACGCACGCACACACACACACACATACACACACCACGCACGCACGCACGCACGCACGCACGCACGCACGCACGCACGCACGCACGCACGCACCCACGCCCACGCCCGCACGCACGCGCACGCACACGCGCACACGCACACGCACACGCACACGCACACGCTGTCACACGCACACGCGCACGCGCACGCGCACGCGCACAAACACACACACACACACACCACACACACGCGCACACGCGCACACGCGCACACACGCATACACGCACACACGCACACACGCACACACATACACACATACACACATACACACATACACACATACACACATACACACATACACACATACACACATACACACATACACACAACACATACGCACACATACACACACACATACTGCACGGCATGCTTGCAGCATGCTGGCTCACCACCGACGTGGCATCTTGAGCCGTCCTTCTCCCCCCGATCGGGCCTGGCCCGAGGGTCCGAAACGTTCTGTGGTTTGATCCGTATCGCGCTCCAGGCTCCCGCGGCACGCACAGTGACGATCGGATCGGCCATCTGTTTGTTGCGTCCTCGCCTTTCGCGTCCTCCTCGCCCTCGCCAACACAGCGGCGAAACGAAAGAAACACGCCGCACGGGGGCGCGTACAGTCAACCCGCATAATGAGGATGGGCATCCTTCCCGAGGGTACCTTTGCAGCCTTGCCACTTCGGCCCCTCCTTGGCCACTTTAGCCGGCCGTGCCCCCGCTCGAAAAGCCTCGAAATGGGGCCCTTGCCCTCCGAATGGTGCATTCTTATTAATCGCTTCGCTCATTCCGCCAGCCCATACAGTCTCATGTCTGCCGTTTGCCCGAGGGCTTGGTGTCAATGCGGCGCTTTGGGGGTTCCTGGGGCCGCTTGGGGGACTCCTGGGGCGCTCGGGGGGGCATTTGGGGGGCCTCCTGGGGCCGCTTGGGGGCATTCTTATTGCACGGGTTGACTGTAGGCTGTAGGCGGTGGGTCTGGATCTATTCGGGCCCTTGGGGGGCGCCGGAGTCCGGACCCCCGTGCCCCGAGGATCCACCTTTCGGCTGCGCGCGAGAGTGACTTTTCGCCGGAGTGACCTTTCGCGCGGTGCGGGCACATTGTGGTCGTTGTGTTTTTCACTGTCTTGCCGATCGGCGCGGGCCCTCGCCCCCCCCCCTCCCCCCCATGGAGCAGATCTTGGCTGTTTTTGGCGCCCGTTTCAAGCAGGTGCAGTCTCGCCCACATGACCCACGGTTGCAAACAGTCGCATCAAGCAGAGGTCCGGAGCCAGACAACCCCCCCCCCTTCCGCTCAATGTCGGAACGCCGGATAAGAAAACGCACCTTTTCGCTGGAATGGCCGTCGGTGCGGGCATGGGGTCCCCAGATGGTTGAAGTGTGCGCGATGACGGCGGCTTGCGCGCTCCGGTTAGGCTTTCCCCCCCCCCAAGCCGTGCACCAAACCCGGAGCCCTGGACACCATCCTTCTGCGTCATTTTCTGAGCCGGATCGATTTGCGAGGGTCTTGGGGCCCGAATCAAGGGCGAAAGCGCCCGGCCCGGAAAAATTGGGACGCCAGGACCTCAGGGAAGGTCACTCTTGTGATGGGCTACTTTTCCACCGCCGCCACCATAAGTAGGAGGGGAGAGGGGGCCCTCCTCCTTGGAAAACAGGCCCATCATCTTGCCCAGAGCCACTCCTGCGTGTGGCCGAGCTTGGTCTTTCCTCGGCACCCCTCGAGGGCGCCCACGCGGGGGTTCGGTCTTCGGGGACCTCGGCAGGCGGTGGGCAGGTGGATATCGTCGGACCGAGGTATCAGGACGAGGTCGGCTCGGAGAGGGTACCCTCGTGTTCTTCGTGTTTGTGGGATGTTCTCGCACATCCGGGGGAGGGTACCCCTGGACGTTCTGGTTGTTTTGGCCGAGGGAGGGTCTCATGTTCTTGGGGAAGGTTCTTCTGGCCTAGGTCCGACTGTAGCCAACGTGGACCCCAAGCAATAAGCTGTTGCACTGTGGATGTGCAAGCTGCGTGGTGCAAGCTATGGCTATGTGTGGTGCAAGCTGCGTGGTGCAAGCTGGGTGGTGCGCAGCCGGCGGCAACGTCCTTGAGGGAGGCTCTTCTTGTCCCCCAGGTCTGACGGGATGCTCGGGCCCTGGGCAGGGGGGGGGGGGGGGGCGAGCCCAGGCCGACGTTGCCCCGAGGGTCCACCTTGTCCTTCCTCGGCGCCCCCCGGGGGAGTGGCCCTCCTCGAGAACGGAGGGGGGTGGAGGAGGGGGAGGGGGGGAGGAGGGAGGAGGGAGGAGGAGGAGGAGGAGGAGGAGGAGGACGAAGAAGAAGAAGAAGAGGAGGAGGACGAATAAGAAGAAGAGGAGGACGAGGAAGAGGAGGAGGAGGAGGAGGGAGGAGGGGGAAGAGGAGGGGGAGGAGGGGGAGGAGGAGGAGGAGGAGGAGGAGGAGGAGGAGGAGGAGGAGGAGGAGGAGGAGGAGGGGGGTGCTCGGAAGTTGTTTCTCGCCTCTGGGCGCAATCCAGCAACTGCGCCTCCTCGAGCGTTTTTTCCATGGGGGTGCCCAGAGCGTCCCGGACGGCCGCCGAGGTGTGCGCTATGACCCGAAAGCCACCAGGCGTTGAGGGAGTGAACGCTATGAGTCAGAGGAGGAACAGGTACCCATACCTCTACCCTTCACCCGTTTTCCCCTTTGTGGGCCTCCTGGGAAGCCCTCGTCGCCACCGCTGGATTCGCCTCGAAATCTTGGTCAGAACGCACCCCGGGAGAGGTCCGGGGAGTAGTGGTATCGGTACCTGTCGGTCTCCCAATGAGCATTGCAGTCAAGACGCTGAGATAAGGAACGGTTTGGGTTCGGAGGGGGCTGCATGTTCCTTAGGTCCTTCCATGGCTGTTCCTCCAGCCCTCCTCGTGAACGAAGGCGGTTCGGGGGCCTAGAGGGGGCTCCGTTCCTTATTCAGCGTGGCCACGAACTGCCCCAGATGTCACGACCCCCTCTTCGTCTTTCGATGCGGCCCTGGGCCCCCCCCCCCCTATCGTCCGCGCGCGTGCCTCGGCCCACTGTGCGCTGGCCCCCTCCTTGCCTGGCCCCCCGCTTCGGCGCCACCGCCCCCCCCCACACGCACGAAGACCCACGCAGCGCGATGCAGCGCAGCACGATGCAGATGGCAATGCAGGTTCGGACGCAGATGCGGCCGGGGGTCGGATGGGGCGAGCAGCGGTGCGAGGCATGCAGGAGCGGAGAGGTGCAGTGCAGCGCGAGGCAGTGCAAAACTATGGGAGGAAGTGCAGGCCAATGCAACGTGAACCAAAGCAATGCAAAGACAGGCAGCGCAAGGCAATGCAACGCAATGCAGGGCGGTTGAAGCGACAGCAAGGCTTACTCAAAGCCAACAGGCCGATGCAATGCACCTAGCGGCAGCGCAAGCTTAAGCAAAGCCCAGGAACTGAACTGAATTCGGTTCGATTCCAAACAAACAAACACCGTAAGTGGCGTCTTTCCTTCATTCAGCCAGTCTTCTGCTTGTCTCTCGCCAAAACATGCTACGTAGACAGGATCGCGCCGGGCTCATGCTAAGAATCTATGTCCGATTGCCCGTCTCCCTTTTCAATCCCGCACCAGGCGCGTGCCGACTGGCTTCAGCAGTGCCAGCAGATGAAGAAGGATTACGCGTTCGGCTATGCCAAAGCGCCCAATAATCAGATCAAGACACAGCAGGTCGCTGACAACGGTTCCTGTGCGTGAGATGGACAGCGACCGAGGAAGTGGAGGGTGGTCACAAGCTGGAGGGAAAGCATCACACGAGGGGATGACGTGGCTGATGACAAAGCAGAGGTGTTGGAACAGTTGCGTGGATGAGGATGGTATGCTTCATCATCGCTCAGCTGTCCTCCCCATCCCTCCTCCTGCTCCTGCTCCCGCTCCTGGTTCTCGTCATCCTCTTCCCTACTCCTTGCCTTTTCCAGCTGATGGTTGCCTCTCCCCCTCCTCCCCCTCGTCTCCTCGTCCTCCTGCTCCTCCACTCGTGGGACAAAATGCTCGTGCCGCAGCGAACTTTGGGCTTGTACGTCCTTGTAACGTTCTGGCCGCCATGCCTTAACTCACTGCCACGTCCGCGCGGCCGCGATCCTCGTTTCCAAGCTGCCAGGCGGCTCAAGCTGCTCCTGCTGCCAAGCAGTCAAAACTCTTCCTCCTCCATCCCCTTTCCTTATACATAGCACCTCCCTGTCGCGCCCCGAGACGTGTCGGTAGGGTGGTCAGGGCGTTTCGCTTGAGATTTTTCTACGGATGGAGGGCGGACCATTTTTTCAAAATGGGCCTCTCGCATTAGCGCCGCGCACATTCGCTTAAACAGGCGCAAGAGTTTTACGAATGGAGGGCGGGCAGTTTTCAAAAAGTGGTTCTCGCATTAGCGCCGCGAACATTCGTTTTGAAAGTCCGCAGAGGTGTCACGGATGGAAGGCAGGCGGTTTTCAACATGTGGTTTGCGCTTTAGCGCCGCGCGCTTTCGTCTTGAAAGTTTTGCCAGAGCTTCGCGGATGGAGGCCAGCTCCTTTTCATAATGCTGGTCTCGCCTTGGTGCCGCGCACCTTCGCCTTAAGAGTTTACAGCAGTTTCAAGGATTCTCAGGGTTGACGTCCCTGAAATGTTGCACGGGCACGATGTAGGGCTCAACAGTCACGTTGATTCACGGTGTTGACGTCCCAGGAATGGTGTTCTGGCACGATTCAGGATCGTCAGGGCGCAACAGTAACGTCTTTTGAACGGTTCAGGATTTCCAGACGGGTGTCTTCCAATTGGACAATTCCCCCAGTGGCAACACATACTTGTAGGGACATCTGAAATTGAACTTGGAGGGAGTGTTGATTGCAACATCGTTGATGAATTGTGGGTTTACACTGGTCCTCATCCTCCTGCTCCAACTCCTCCTCCTCCTCCTCCTCCTCCTCCTCATCCTCATCCTCATCCTCATCCTCATCCTCATCCTCATCCTCATCTTCATCCTCCTCTCTGTTTGTTCTCCTCGTTCCTCCTCGTTCCTCCTTTCTCCTCCTCCTCCTCCTCCTCCTCCTCCTTCTCCTCCTCCTCTCCTCTCCGTTTCTTTCTCCTCGTTCCTCCTCTTTTTCCCTCCCCGCTGGCGGCCGGGCGGCTCACTCTTCCGCAATTATCGTGCAGATGCCAGTCCGTGCCGTGCCAGGGGGTGCAAGGGATGTGGTGGTGGGCGGGAGCATGGACGCACAGAGCACATGGAGCTGGCAAGGAGAAGGAGGACGACGACAGGGTTATTCACGAGGAGTGCGAACGCGACGGTAATTGAAGTGCTGCAGGTCATCGAGGCGACCAACGCCTTCCTGCACAAGAAGGGCTGGATGGACGACCGTGACGTGTTTGTGTGCACCGGCGTGGGCAACCATCAGATGATGTCTGCGCAGTTCATCAGGTGCTGGGAAGCTAATGAGGAGGAGACGTCGCAGTATCCGCAGGAACAGTAGGGGGAAGGGACGAGGAGCAACAGCAGATGGAAGATGAGGGAGAGGAGACAGGCGAGGAGGAGGAAGCCGGGGAACATAAGCTCGACGAGGAGGAGGAGGAGGAAGAGGGGCAGGAGGAGGGAACCGGAGAAGGAAGAGGAGGTGGAGGAGGAGGAGGAGGAGGACGACGACGACGAGGGCGACGAAAACGAGGACGATCGGGAGAAGGAGGAGTGCAAGGAAAAGCAGGATGTGGGGAAGGAGGGGCAGGGAGGCAGGGGCGGAGAAGGGGGAGGAGTGGAAGATGGACGCACACGCGGGACGAAGAGTTGGAGGAAGACAAGGGGCACAAGTAGCATTTGGAAGACAACGGGAGGAGGAAGAGGAGGAGGAGGAGGAGGATGAGGAGGAGGAGGAGGAGGGGGAGGAGCAGGAGGAGGGGGAGGAGCAGGAGGAGGAGAAGGAGCAGGAGGAGGAAGATGAGGAGAAACAGGAGCAGCATGAGGAGGTAGGTAGGTAGGTAGGTAGGTAGCTAGGTAGGTAGTCAGGTAGGTAGGTTGGTCGGTAGGTAGGTAGTCAGGTAGGTAGGTAGGTAGGTAGGTAGGTAGGTCGGTCGGTCGGTCGGTCGGTCGGTCGGTCGGTCGGTCGGTAGGTAGGTAGGTAGGTAGGTAGGTAGGTCGGTAGGTTGGTAGGTGTCCTCCCCTAGAGGACTGCACGCTGGGCCCGCGGGCACAGGCCCCTCAGCAGGGGGCTGTTGGGCCGATCGGGCCGCTGCAGCGGCTCCGCAACGCCCACCCAGCGGAAGGGCAGGCTCCGCCCGTGAGGGGAGGGGAGGGGAGGGGGGGATGGGGAGGCCCAGGGCGTGCGACTACACCATCGTCGCGCTCGGCGTCGTGCTCCCGGGTAGCGCCAGGTATAGGCCCCGGCCAGCGCGTCCCACCCCCCGTAAGGATGGCTGCTGCCCAGTGCAAAGGCCGTCCTGAAGGGGCCGCCGCTGAGCGTCGGTGGCACGCTCAGGCACCAATTCAAGGTGCTCGGCGGCAAAGACCCGCGGCCCGTCGGGGGAGGGAGGGGGAGGGCGGGGGGCGGGGGGGGCTGCCTGCGGCCACCCGGTTCGCTCCATCCAACCTCCGAGCCCTGTGCAGGGAGCTGCAGCAGGGTGCCCGTATCCCTTTCAACCTTGGTCTGTGCTTGTGTGTACACTTTGGAAAAACTTGCTACACTGTTGCACGCGTGTGCAGGGCCAGCTCCTGGACCAGCTACTGCCTGTATCGCTCCTCCACGATCTCCTGGGCTCTGCCTCTGGGCTGGACCCTAGGAGGCCAGCTGCCCAGGCTGGCCGATCGGGCAGATCCCAGGAAGCCAGCAGGTTCAGCGATGCTCGCGACCGCGTCCCCCTTTGCATAATATGGTTTCGAGCGAAGATTGGTCCGTAGAGGTCAGATTCCACCAGCCTCCAGACCCGTCCGCCCCGAAGCAACGTCCAGGACCGCGTGCCCCGAGCCCGAGAGTGTCCAGCCCAGCCCAGCAAAGGCCGGGGCCCTTGCTTCCATGGCGGACAATCGAGGAAAGCCCGAGCCCACGCAGCACAGTGCTCGCCCAGCCTGCAGGAGGCCCCTTTCCGCGATGGCGCAGAGTCGGCGGCCGAAGCGCAAGCATGGACTGACTTTGGACTCAAAGATCCCGGCGGCTGCTGGTAGGGGTGGAGCGCCGCTGGGCGAGGGGAGGAGACGCATGAGGAGAAGGAGGATACGGAGGAACCGAAGAGGGAGGGTGAACAAGAGCACACGGAGGAGAGGGGGAGGAGGGTATGGGGGAGGAGGAGGAGGAGGAGGAGGAGGAGGAGGAGGAGGAGGAGGATGAGGAGGAGGAGAAGGAGGAAACAGAGGACGGGGTTGGAGGGGGAGGAGGAGCATGCGGAGGAAAATGATGACGTGGAGAATGATGGGGGAGGGGGAGGGATGGGGGAGGTGGAGCAGGAGGAGAAGGAGGAAGTGTAGGAGGATGAAGCGGAGGAGGAAGCAGAGGAGGAAGAGGAGGAGGAGGAGGTGGAGGTTGAGGAGGAGGGGGGGATGGGAGCGGAAGAGATGGGCCGAAGAGCCCGATCTGCCCAGGTGGACGAGGCCTCGCAGTATGATCACGAGCGGCAGCCTGGGCGTCATGGGCGCTGGCCTGCCCTTTGCCATCGGCACGCAGGCGCCTGCCGTATCCCTCCTTCCCTGTTGGCGCGGAGGCAGGCAGGGCACGGGTAAAGCGAGGCAAGCATGAGCGGGAGCAGGAGGAAGAAGAGGAGGGCGAGGACGAGGATGAGGATGAGGATGATGATGATGCTAATGATGATGCTGTTGTTGATGCTGATAATGATGATGCTGATGGTGATTATGATGCGACGATGATGATGCGGATGATGATGATGATGATGATGATGATGATGATGATGATGATGATGATGATGATGATGAGGAGGAGGAGGAGGAGGATGAGGAGGAGTAGCATGATGATGCTGATGACGATGTTTATGATGATGATGATGATGATGATGATGATGATGATGATGATGATGATGATGATGATGATGATGTGGATGATGCTGACGATGGTGCTGCTGATGATGCTGATGCTGATTATGATGGTGATGATGCTGATGATGATAATGATAAAAAGAAAGGTAAAGGTGAGGATGATGATGCAGATGACGACGATGATGATGATGATGCTGCTGATACTGATGATGATGATGATGATGATGATGATGATGATGATGATGATGATGGTGCTGCTGATGATGATGCTGATGATGCTGATGCTGATGATGATGATGACGACGATGATGATGATGGTGATGGTGGTGGTGATAATGATGATGCGTCGATGATGGTGATGATGATGAGGAGGATTGTTCATGTTGATGAAGATGATGATGATGATGATGATGATGATGATGATGATGATGATGATGATGATGATGATGATGATGCTGATGATGATGATGATGAGGAGGAGGAGGAGGAGGAGGAGAAGGATAAGGATTAGGAGAAGGAGAAGGACGAGGAGGAGGAGGAGGATGAGGATGAGGATGATGATCTAATCTGATGAAAGCCAAAGTAAAGAAGAAACATGATACCACGAACCGCAACACCATGAAGAGCAGGGTCACGGAGACGGCAGGAGATAAAGATAATCGGCAGGTGGACCAGGCGAAGCAGGTGGACCAGGCGAAGCAGGAGGAGGAGGAGGAGGAGGAGGAGGAGGAGGAGGAGGAGGAGGAGGAACAGGACGCAGGAGGAGGTGATTCTCGCTGCTGGCGGTGGTGCAGGTGCCCTCGTTTGCGCAGCTCCGGCCCCTCCTTCCTCCTCCGCCCACCTCCGCCGCAGGGCCCCGCCTGCCGCTGCCGACGCCGCGGGGCCGCCCGAAAAGCATGCCCGGCAGAGAGCCAGGTGGCGAACCCCAAGTCTCTGACGATCCTCATCGACGGCGACGGGTCCTTCAACATGACCAACATGGACCTGCAGACCATCAAGAGGTGCGGCCTCCACCCCTCCTCCCTTCTGGCGGCGTGCGCAGCGGGGGTGGGGCGGGGGCGGGGGGCGGGGGGGCTGCCTGAACTGACGCCCTCCCGTCTTCCAAGAGGCCTCCCGCGGCCTCTAAGTTTTTTTGTCGGTTTCGTCGAGGACAGGGGGCCTCTTGAGCATTCCACCCTGCCGACTTCTTAGGAAGCCCCCCCCCCCCCGTTCGCCCCCCACTCCTCGCGCGCGCGCGCCACAGGCGACTGCCTCCGCCCAGAAAATCACAATAACAACGGCGCGCACACACAGATAAACGTTCGGAGGTCCGCGCGGATGTGTTTGGCCTGGAGGGGCAAACATCGGCGCAACGACAGATACTTTCGGAGGTCCGCGCGGAGGTCTTGGATCTGCGCTGGATCCCCCTCGCGGCATGAGCTTCCTTGAGCATGCAGCAAACTCTGAAAACGAATGTGCGCGTCGCTAGGGCGAGAGGCGCATTTTGAAGAACAGCCGCCCTCCCTCAGTGAAGCTCTTGCCAATGCTGAAGACGAGCGTGCGCGGCGCTGAGGCGAGAGCCATGTTTTGAAAGCGGCACGCCCTTGGGCCGCGAAGGTCCTGCAAATTTCCAGAACGAAGGTGCGCGGCGCTAAAGGCGAGAGCCACCTTTTGAAAGCGGCCCACCCGCCACCCTCTTGAATCTCACGCGATGTCTTGCATTGCGGGTCACGGGTGGTGAGGAAGTCTCGGGCGAAACGCCGGGCCCGCCCTGCCGACGCACCTCCGGGTGCGACAGGGAGGAGCTGTTTCTAAGGAGACGGAATGGGAGAGGGGGTCCGTGCCGGTATTCGGGGGAGGAGGGGCGAGAAAATCGGCGGAGGCGAGTGGAACAGCGGAGGAGGAGGAGGACGAGGAGGAGGGCCGTGCCAGTATTTGCTTGCACGTGCGCGCGCATGTACCTCGCCATGCGGGGGCCGAGGTACAACCTCCCGATCAAGATCGCTGTCATGAACGACGCCAGGCAGCAGATGGTTTGGATATGGCAGAGGTTGCGCTCTCCCTCCATCTCTCTTTTTTAATATATATACACACACTTACCTGTGCATATACATCTATGAAAACACATACACATGTAACACATATGTACAGATGCCTGCGTATTTACATGTCTGTTTGTCACATGCTGACGCCCTGTCTCTCTCCCTCTCTCTTTCTTTCTTGTGTTGTCTCTCTCTATCTCTCTCTCTCTCTCGGTGCGTGGGCGGGCGTATATTATTTTATGTGTGGGTGAATGTCTCTGTCTGCCTGCCTGCATTTCTTTGTGTGTATGTCCTTCTCTATCCCTCTCTCCCTTTCTGTTTATTTCTCCTGATATATAACACATGTATGTGCACATGCGTGTATATCGTCCTTCCCATCTCTCTCTCTCTCTCTCCCTCTCCTCTCTCTCTCTCTCTAGATTCCACCCTTCTCTTTCTCCCTCTCTCCCTCTCTCTCCCTCCATCTCCCCCTCTCTCTCCGGGAATGCACGCGGGGGGAAGCGACCGAGGTTGTTTTTCGGAGGGCGGTACGTCAGCGTCGACAACGTCAATCCCGATTTCGTGATGCTGGCGCAGGTGCTCCCCATGTCTTGTTGGCCTCATCATCATCAGCAGCATCATCCCTCCATTATTCTCGTCCGCCTTGTAATTCCCCTGCTCCACCATGCTCGGCAATACACACGCCCGGAAGGTACATTCCCCTCCCCACACACTCCTTCCCGTCATTATCGTTAGTCTCTTTCTACTCCTCCTTCTCTCCTTCTCTCCTCCCTCCCCTTCCCCTTGACTGACTGGCACAGAGTGACCTACTGAAACGCAATCCAAACTTTTTGTTGCTCCTCCTCGTAAAATTCCTACTACTACGACTACGACTACGACTACGACTACGACTACTCCTACTCCTACTCCTACTACTACTACTACTACTACTACTACCACTACTACTTCTACTACTACTACTACTACTACTACTACTACTACTACTACTACTACTACTACTGCTACGTCGGCGACGACGACCACTACTACTACGACGATGACGCTTACTGTTACCATTCAGATTCGTATTGTTACGATTGCTACCGTTCCATTTTTTAGTGTTCTCAGCATTTGTATCAGGATTATGAATACTATTACGGTCATTCTTACTAAGACACTACTACCACTACTACCACTACTACTACTACTACGACTACCACTACTACTACCACTACTACTACTACTACTACTGCTGCTACTACTGCTACTACTACTACTACTATTACTACTACTACGACGACTACTACTACTACTACTACTACTACTACTACTACTACTAGTAGTACTAGTACTACTACTGCTACGACGACAACGACGACGACTACTACCACTACCATCTGACCATTACTACCACTACAACTACTGCTGCTACTATTACCCCCACTACTTTTATTACTACTACTATTACTGCGACTACTATTAACACTACGACTGCTACTACTGCTACTGCTACTGCTACCATAATGATTATTACTACTACTGTTGCTACTACTACTACTACTACTACTACTACTACTACTACTACTACTACTACTACTACTACTAGTACTACTGCTGCTGCTGCTGCTGCTACTACAGTACTGCTGGTGCAACTACGAGTAGTAATTTCGTTGTTGCCACGAATGCTACTACTAGTACTACTACTGCTAATACTGCTACTACTATTGCTACTCCTCCTTCTCCTCCTACTGCTACTACTACTGCTGCTACTACGACTACGACGACTACTACGACGACGACGACGGCGACGACGACGACGACGACGACGACGGCTACTGCTGCTACTACTACTATTACTACTACTACTACTACTACTACTACTACTACTACTACTACTACTACTACTACTACTAATACTACTACTACTACTACTACTACTACTACTACTACTACTACTACTACTACTACTACTACTACTACTACTACTACTACTACGACTACCACTGCTACTTTATTATTATTATTACTACTACTACTACTACTACTACTACTACTACTACTACTATTTACTACTACGTTACTACTCCGATTACTACTAATAATAACAATACGACTGCTACTACTACTCTTGTTCTCCTCTTCTCCACTGCTTGTTCTCCTCTTCTCCACCCTCTGCCTCCTTTCACAAAGAAGGGCGCCGACAGAGCACTCCAGCCCGAGCCTCCCTCGCTGTATCCCAGGGCGCCTGGAGCGGGCGGTCTTGAGGGAGCGCGCGCCATGCTTGGTCAGATTCGCTAGCTTTCAATGATTCAAGTGGCTTGCGCCATTCCGCCGACCCCCAGAGGGAGGCAGAGTTTGCGATGCTCGTGGAAGTTATCGAAGACGCCTGCGGCGAAGCACCGCCGACCCCTGCCTTTTAGGATACGCCTACGTGGCCAAATGTTTGGGCAAAGTTTGCCCACGCTGTTGGACCATGCGTCCCCCCAGCCTTTGTGGAAACCCTTCCGGGAAGACGTGTCGGAGGTAGAGGAGGATGAGGAGAGGGAAGAAAGAAGAGGATGAGAAGAAGGATGAGGAGACCTCTTGAGAGATTCTTGGAACATTATGGTGGCCTCGTGGGAGCTTCCTGGGGGCCTCTTGGAGGCCTCTTGGGGTCCTTTTTGGGCCTCTTGGGGGCCTTTGGGTGCTTTTTGAGGGCCTCTTTGGCCGTCTTGAAGCGTTCCTAGCCCGTCTCGGCCGTCTCAGAGCGTTCTGGAACGCTCCGAGAGCGTTTCGGAACGCCCTGGAACGGATTAACTTCGCCCCACTCGGAAAGAAGAAGAAGAAGAAGACGAAGGAGCGGATTTATCTTCGTCCCACTGGAACGTGCTGAAAGAAGAAGAAGAAGAAGAAGAAGAAGAAGAACAGTTCTTCTTCTTTCGGCTCGTTTCCTGCCCTTCCCCATTGTCCGCGCACGTGCTTGGGGCCATTGCGCGCCCCCCCCCCTTGTTCGTGCCCCCCCCACTGCTCGGCACACCGGGCGATCTTGCCCCGGCCGGGGCGAAAGACCCGCTCGAACATGGTCTCTCGGAGTTCCGCGCGGACCTCCGAAAGCTGTTGTTCACAGTCGAAACTCGCAGTACGGACGCACGGATGTTCTTAGGGCACCTTTGCGCACTTGCCTCTGCGGCACGTCCGTCGCGGTTTTCATTGGCCAGCCCTTCAGGGTGTTGGCCGTCTGTCGCCCAGAATGCGCCAACCCCGGCGCCCAAGGCCCCCTGACGTCCTTACCTTACCGCCCGTCCCTACTATAGATTCCAACTGTGTTGGCATGCTTCGCTCCTCTGCAGTCATGGCGCCGAGATATGGAACAGTTCGGGTTCGGAAGGGGCTCGCCGTTCCTGGGTCTTTCCATGGCTGTTCCCCGCGGCACAGGCACACGGCATCGAGGCCGCCAGGTGCGATAACGAGACGGACCTGGAAGCGGCGGTCGAGAAGTGGCGCGCAGCGCCAGGGGGAGGGAGAGGAGGAGAGAGGGAGGGGAAGGAGGAGGAGGGAGGAGGGAGAAGGGAGGAGGGAGGAGGAGGATTACGAGGAGGAGGAGGAGGAGGAGGAGGAGGAGGAAGA